GGACCCGGGCCGAGCCCCCCGGTGCTACGGCAGCTGTGTGGGTGCAGCTGCGGTTCTGTACTCTGCCTCAGGGTTTTAGGGATGTCCCAAATTCTGACTAAAACGCTTTCACCAGTATGCCTAGATCCCTTACAAGCTTAGATAGCAGCCTCGACTCAGGCAGTTTCATTTTACTTCACTCATGCTCCCACCTCATCGCAGTCTTTTGATCAGAAGTTGATGGCACACTTCATTTTGCCTCAGACATCCACTTTAGTTCTAAAAGCTGTGATCCATGTAGTTCTTGGATTACTGTTACCACTGTCCCTTGTTCAGGAGCTTTCTCCTATCAGGATAACATAGGGATCAGAATAACTGATTAAAACAAGGCCTAAAAATCCCAGCTAAAAACGCATTACATAAAGCAGGAGATATTTCTCTTAGATTATACTATCTACCCAAAAGATACCTAGAGAGGATGGAAGGACCCACAGACAGGAACAGATAGTATTTTAGTTATGCATTTAAGACTCCTGAATTTTCACAGGACAGCTTGTGCCACAAAAGAGTTTTTTTAAATTACTCTTATCTTAAAAGTTACCAAGATAGCAGCAGATGAGCATAAGCGCCTATCCATCTTCCTGAGGCAGCTACCAAGTAGTACATATTTTCTGAGGAAAAGGAAGCTGTTATGGCATGCTTGCCTTAAATATTATTATTTCCTCCAGCAATTGTAGCATAAAGTTCTTAGTTGAACAGACAGCTCATACACAATAAGATACAATGACATAGTAGTTCATGAGCTCTATGAAACACTTTAGGTTCCTTAGAAATGCAAGTTTCTGTATAAACAGTCACTTAACAGCTGCCATACTGCATTAAGCTACAGGGCTTGCTCAAATACAGCAAAATTTGAATAACCTAGCAAGCAAGCTAGATTTACTTTCTAAGAAGCCTGCTTAATACAGGCATGCATATAAATAGCTACACTATGCTGGTTTTTATGCAAGATAGCTTTTGTTCTGTAGAGTAGTGCTTTATATTTCTTTGTTGTCTTTTTTTACAAGCACATCAAAACACTTTATGTAATATTATTCTTAACCATGACCTTTTAAATAAACACATTGCCAACATTTTTTTTTATCTGATGAGAGGATTAAGATATTAGTGCTTTTAGCCTAGGTCACAAAACAAATCAATATTGCTACTGCAAGCAGAACCAAGAAAACAAACCTTCCTCTAATCTTCATATTACAGCTCTGTTTAAGTCTCTGTATCTTTGAGGCCACCCTTATTTCTGTTAAGAGTCCTACCCAGACTAGCTACTAGAAGCCACAACAAGCATTCCAGAGACCAAGCTACTCCAAGCAGAAAGACAGCCCTGAAGAATGAGTGGGTTGTAAGGGTTTATTATATACCCCTGTGGCTGGGTGGGCCTGGCCAGGAGCTGGGCCAGGGGCCACGGGGGATTGGCCAGAAGGCAAGTCCTTCTCTAGGGCTGGCCAAAAAGAGTCCTGCCAGGGCTTGGGCAGCTCCTGCAGAAAGCAGGATTTGCTTTGGGTTGACATCTGTCATCATGTGGGGCACCGTTTGTACACTAAATAGGGTACTTTGGATCTTTGCCCAGAATACTTTTGAGTGAATAGTGGAGAGAAGTTCTTAAGGAGCTGCAGAGAGCTCCTCTGCTTTCCTTTCACAGGAGAGTGAGTCAGCTTACTGCCCTATTTCTAGACACATACAAATGTTCATCATAAAACTTTCATGGAGCTTGTTGTGAGAATAGCAAAGTACACAATCTACTGAACTGATCCGTGTCTTCTAGATAAGGGTTGTGCTTTGCTTTGAATGAATATGAGCTTGATCTTGTTAATGGTCCTCAGGTGCTGGGCCTGCTTTGAGGAACGCCTAGAAAACACCTTCCCATCAGCATGGTATTTGTTAAATATCTCCAAATGGCAAACACTGGTGTATGAGAGGGTTTTGCCTAGATTTACTATAAACTATGCATATAACACCCTTATTTATAAACTGGAATTAAGAGGAAAAGCTACACTTTGTGAGTCAGTGTACATCAGCAAAAATTGATTTACTAGGAGGTCCTATAAATACAGCATGGGGTATTTTATTTTGGGCTCCTGTGTTTTTGTGTGTTTTTAGCATTTCAGGATTTTTTTTTAAATTGAGATAGTTATACAATCCTGGTTACCATAATAACCAGTATCATGATGATACATGACAGCTATCACTTTTGCAGTGAATTCTTCCATACATTTGCTGTAAAATGTTTTCATTGTCATTCAAGGCATCGTGCCACAAAGCAGATAATGCCTCATTGCTCTGTAGAAGCTGGAGGGGCCCTTAAAACTTTCAGAATTGTGCCTTTTGTGGCATTTTTCACTTTGATCCAGACTGTATACATGCTGTGTCTTTCTGTGGCAGGCTTAGAGTACCTGAAACAGGAAAGATAAAGCAATCCTTTAACTCCCAAACACTCTTCTTTTTTTTTTTTTTAACCAAGTAAGGAAAAATGAACACAGCAAAGATCTTTCAAATTTGCTATACCTTAATTTGAAACAGTATCAGCCCCTGTGGAAGCAGTAAAGTAGACTAAACGAGTTTGTTCATTCTTTTGATTGTATCCATCAATTACTTCTCAACTCACCAGAACAAAATTAAAACAAAAATAAATGTGTTTTCAATTGTGTAGCGTCTTGTTTTACCGATCTTAATCTTGCAAGTAAACTGAGGGTCTGACTCTTACAAGTGTTTCAAAGCTATTTCCTACTCCCCTTCTCCCTCCTTGTTCCTCAGCTTTCATTTTAAGCCACTACTGTCTTTTGAAACAAATCAAATGTAAAAGTCTTGTGCTGAAGAAAGAAGGAAAGTCAGAGATATTTTTTTTTTTTGAAAACTCTCAGCAAGTAAGGTTTAAACAAGAACTAATTTCACCTCCAAAAGGCACGCTTCTCAGTTAGAAGACAAACTTTAAATTCATTTCCAGTTTAATCCTATTCCCGATTCAAGATAGAATATGTATGTCTCTAATTCCTGTCATTAAGCAAGGGAAGCAGAGCGTGTGTGAAAGCAACTCCTGATTCTTCACAGCCATGTGCCAATGAGATATTTGACCACTACTGAGTTGCTAATACTTAGCACACATACAACACTAATTCAGAAGATCTCATTTACTTTACAGATATGAATACATTTACTTCCGGGTCTCTCTCTGAAGGAGATATGCATATCCCTATCTATAATCCAGGGTTATTAAGGCAGAGAATGTTTAGCTGGCCCAAATTTTGACAAGTTTTCTCACAAGCAGATACTAGAGCCAAGAATTGTGGCTGCCAGCTCCCTTGCTGTCATTATTCTGTGCTCTCAATGGGTTTCAAAGCAATTGACAGTATCACTTGATGCACCTTTGGAAGCCCATATATCAGAAAATGTGTCCATGTTGCAAATTATCAGGCAGACATCAGCTACTCATGAGTAGGGAGACCATATGGTTTTGCTGATATTGAAACAATCAGCTCTAATCCAAGTCATTTTCTCCAAGGCAGCTGCTTTTTTGGTTATTATCTGTTCCCCCGTGTTTCTGTTCTTGGTGACAGATCACTTCTTGAGGAATTCACTTCTGGCAGCAAGAAATGTTCAGACTCCCCATCATTTTTCATACACTAATCTATGTTGGGAATTTTCAGTAAATAACATGAAAGCATCAGTGATTGAACACTTTAGGGTAAACAGTATCATTAGGTTGATTTATTTTTCTCCCTAAATACTTGCAGCTTCTGAAACACATTTTTCTTTCCAAGTATCTATAGGTTGTATAGTTATCTGATCCTTCTGTCTGATAGTTGGTTTATAAATTCTGTACGTAATATATCATGCAAAGCAATTCTTACTAAATTTCAACACTTGTATCTTACACCGATGTGAGATTTGGTTATCAGGCTTTGAAATCCTTGGATTTCAAAGGAGGATCTCAAAGCACAGTGTTTATTACCTACATGAATACACTGACTGCATAAAAAGTTTGAACAGACCCTTGTAAAACTCTGCTTCTGTGGTTCAGAAGGATGTTTAAAACAGTTACTGATACTCAGATCAAGCTGCAAGACTTAATCGTTGCTCAGGGCACTTATGAGTTTGGGGTAATTGGAATGTATTTTTCAGATTTGAAAAGGTTTCGATATCAGATACACATGAGTTTTGAACTCATTCATTCTTAGAAATATAAAATAAAGATATTCTAACGTGCATTACAGACCTCTCCACATAGCTATGGGCTACTATTGGCTGAGTTCAGCATACAGGATTTCCAGAAAGTTAGCTTGCTGTTAGTGATATATGCATTGGATTGAGTTATTTGGTGGACTCTATATTGGGTTTCACTCTGCCTAACAATTTGGAAGTATTTCTCAGGCTGAATGCAGCATGATGACACCTGAACGCCATATCCAGCCATTTCCATGTTTCATGAACTCCCCTAGGCATGAAGAATCTGGAGGAGAATGGAATGTGCTGGGAAGGTGGAAGGGGTAAACTGGCTGCACTTGGAGCCTCTGGTGTTTGATTAGAGCAACCACAGCTTCAGGCATCTGATTTTCTGTGGCTGGATACTTCACGCCCACTAACATGTTCCAGCAAAGCAGTCCCACTTAATTTCTGTCCTGCTGTCTAACAGAGTTTAACATGTCGATGGCATGAGTGACTAATTGCCTGGGCAGACGTGAGATAAGAACAGGGAGGACAGAGGAAGGCAGATAACTGTAGTGTGGAGGAAATAGTAGTGCAGAAAACTCCTAAAATGGGTCCAGTGTGATGAGTCCCTGCTGTTGGGTAGGGGTGATAGAAAGACACGTTTGGTGGTGGGAATTACAGGGGTCCCTAAAACAGATGAGTCTGGGAGAGGAGCACATGAGGACCCTGTGGGGGATGGAGTGGGTGAATGTATATCTCTGC